GGGGGGCAGGATGCCAGGGTGATGGGCCCATGGAGGGGATCTGATGTGGGGCAGGATGCCGGGCAGGCCGTGGGTCTGAGCCCAGCCGAGCAGACCGTTGCTGATGTAACGGGGCTGCAATCCTGCCGTGTTTTCCTGACTCATGGTGATGTCACCGGTTTGCCTCAGCCCCACAAACCCCCTCCCCCTGCTCGGGCACTGAGGGGCACCCCGACCCCTTGGAGCAGCTTTAACCCCTCACTGCCCGGAGCTCCCCTGGGATCCAGCCCCTCAAGCCCCCTGAGCCCCATTCCCCAGCCCCCCTTGCTCTCCCTGGCTTCAACGCCCCCAGCGTCTCACAGGCGTCCTGTCCCCCCACAGGACAAGCCCTGCCATGAGAGAGGAGGTGGAGACGGGCGTCCGGTTCCTGTCGCGCCTGGTGAACCGGCACAGCCGGCTGGACGAGGGGCGCATGGAACAGTTCGGGGAGCGCCTGGCCGCCATCCTGCGGGAGAGGTACAGCCAGCACTGGTATCCCGAGAACCCCGCCAAGGGGCAGGCCTACAGGTACGCGGCCCGGGCGCGGAGGGGGGCGGCGTGGGGAGCAGGGCGGCCGCTCGCACAGCAGTTTGGCATAGCCGGGTGCACCGCAGTGGCCCGTGGGCGGAGCCCATCACAGGGTGGGGACAGCCGGGGGGCGCCATCCATGGGCTGCATCGCGGGGCCGTTTGCCAGGCGGGTTGGTAACTCTTTGCTCCGGGCGCGGGGCGGGGGGCCATCATGCGGGGGCCGCAGCTGGGGGTCGCCACTCGGGTGGCGGGGAGGGGAGCCCTTTTGCAGGGCGCTTGGTGGGGCGCTCACCTGCTGGGGGTCCTGTAGGGCCCCTGGCGCTCTGACCCCCACCCCCCGGCCTCTCCCACTCCAGGTGTATCCGAATCAACCGGCGGCAGCGGGTGGACGAGTCGCTGCTCCGGGCCTGCGCGGGCTGCGGGCTGGAGTACTCGGAGCTGGCGCTGCCGCGGGAGCTCTCGCTCTGGATCGACCCGGGGGAGGTCTGTTGTAGGTGAGCTTCCCCCCTGCCCCCCCCCATCTGCTGGCTGGGGTCAGCCCCCTCCCCAGCTCCCGGCTGCCTCCGTCCAGCAGGAGACAAAAGCCCTACTATCGCTGCAGCACCTGGAGAATTGCCCAATGGCACGGCCAGCTGCGCCAGGACTCCTGGGTTCTCTCCTCCATGGGGACCCCCTTCGTGCACGTGGGGCTCACAGTGCTCCCACCAGGCACTAAACCCTGCCCCATACCCCTCTAGGGGGAGCAGGCTCTGCTCCAGCCCCAGGGTGGGGGGCTGGCTGACTCAGGGGGGTGGG